ATTCGTAGGGTAGGTTAGAACGAGAACTAGAGTAGTGTCCTTGGAAAAGTCTTGGAAACAGGATTGGACACACACACACACATTTTCACATCGATTCCCAGTCAACAGAGGTGAGTCAAAAGAGCATGAGTTCCAACAGGGCGTAAACCACTCTGTTTCATCCATCTGCGTCACTGCGCCTTCTTGGAATAACAGCAAATCATCTTTCCCAGGCGACTTCGGAGATCCTTCAGATCGGTCGCCAGCGCCAGAATCGCCATGATCTCCTGATCTCCGATTCCGACGTGATGGCGAGATGGAGACTCAGAGATGCCAAGTGACCAAGGCAAGTGACCAGCAAAACAACAACACACCATCCATCCGTGTGGCCTCTTTCCGACAAAACACCCACAGGGATGGTGGAACTCCTCCAGCTCTCCAGCTCGACGTGGAACGAAGGAACGGCGTCCTTTCCTTTTGGTTTCTTCCGACGTCCCAGAGCGCCCCACGTGTCGCGTGTCGCGTGCTCTCGCGTTTGTCGCCGTGCTCTCCGAGCTCACGGTGATGCCGTAGGAGGAGGTGCGCTTCATCTGCTCGTTCTTCTTCTTGGAGAACTCAGAGGGACTTAAGCCAATCTCCACCTTGCGGAGGTACTTGTCACCTCGCACAGCTGTAGAGTGTAATAAAGCACTCGGACTAGGACAGAATTGGCCGGGGTCCTGATATATATGTTTTTGATATGAGCTCAGGCTCAAGGACGTGGAGGCAAGGACGTGGCTTTCCAAGAAGCCAATGCAAAAAGGAAGGCATCTATGGCAATTGACAGAGCACGTGGTGCCCTTCGGCCAAGACACTGCAGTCTGTCACACGTTTCCAGGTAATGGTGTCTGGATCGATGTCCAAAATGCAGAATTTCTCGATTTCCTCCTGGAGTCACAGCAAGCAGCACAGCCATGCACAGCCGAAGGACCAGCAATGGCTGGCAACAAAAAGCTCTGCTCCCGTTCGCTCGCTTCATGCTCTCGCTCGCTCGCTCGCTCGCTCGCTCCTCAGTGAGCAAATCTGGATTCTCTTTCTTATGACCCAAGCCAAGCTTTTCGAGCCGCGCGTACATGGTGGGCTCAAACTCCCGCTTCCCGTTCTTGTCCACCGGACAGAGTCGATTCCAAATCCCCTTGGCCGAGGAGCTGTTCCTGAGCGCGCCACACACGGCACCTCTCCAAGGTCCGCGGTGCGGAGAGGTCCGGGTGTAATGCCAACCCGCCGTTTGCCTTGAACGGTCTGAATCCCAAGCAACCGTTGTACTAACCAAATGACACTAGAAAACCAGGAGAATCATTTTGAACCTAGTGGAAGACTAAGGTCCAAAAAGTGGCCAATTTCGATGATTCTGAAGCCAACCGCCTTGCGGCACCCTTTCGTTGTGGTGAACCCAATCACAGGTAAGACGGTAATGAAAGAGGGAGCAGGTGAAACAAAGGGCTTGATCCAGCCAGATCAACTTCTCTGGTGTCAATGGCTGTGAACTGCCAAAGGTGCTCATCTGCCCAACTCTCCATACCCAAAACCGAGCTGCTCATGATAGTAGCGTGTGTCGATGGCCGCGGCAAATAAGTTGTGTGCCGCCGTAATCGCGTGAATGTCACCCGTCATGTGCAGGTTAAAGTCCTCCACCGACGACGAAGGCGGCGCTTCTTGGCCGGCGCGGGTCGATACACCGCTGAGGACGAGGGGCAAGTGGGTCCAAGAGGGTCGTGAAGTGGTGCCGGCAATTGGGCGACTCGTTAAACTCCACATGTTTGTTTTGGGATGCACCGCTGAGGACGACCTTGGGGGCAAAGTGGGGAAGTGAAGTGGTGCCACTTAGTCGCTTTGTTTGGGGGCTCCGAGCTTGGCCAAACCGCCCATTCCGGCCCTCCCGGCCCGGAGTTCATCCGCTCAGTTCATCCGCTCTCTCCTCCATGGGAAAGCACTGCGCATAGCCTCCGCCCGCCGCTCCGCCCTTGATGCCAAAGGTGGGGCCCATCGAGGGTTGCCGGATGTTGGTGAGGACCTGAAACCAAGCCATCGTCGTTTCGGCCGGCACGGCGAACCATTCGTGTCAAGCCACGACGTCTTGGAGGTGACTGGGCTTAAGACTGATGGAGTCCAATCGGATGGTCAAAGACGTGGCAAGAACACTGACTACGGCCTTGCAAGGCTTTGGAATTGGACTCTCTTTGCTATAAGAACATATTTTAGGAACAGGATCACTTCCACAAACTCCCAGGCTCACAGGTGGTGCTTCCCAGAGTCACGTGTGAAGAAAGGACATTGTCCTTCTCCACAAAAGACGGTGTCCGTTTTGGTACCTCCTCCTCGCCACGCGAACCTCTGTTTTTTCTTCTAGTTTGCACCGGAAAAAAACATCTCCGCAAAACAAATGGCATGGGGAAACATCCATGACAGGGCTTCTTGATGCTTCTTGGCTGGGTCCCTTTTCCAAGCTTGAAAAAGGCTGGTCCATTCTCTCCATGCGCCACTCCCAAGGCTTGGAGCCCCGCCTTCTGTCCCAGGAAGGCACCCAACGCTTGAGAGAGTCCCACCGTGGTGGTCGACTTCCCTTCACCCAATGGGGTTGGGTTGATGCCACACACCACGACGTAGTGGCCTCGGAACCAAGCAAACGAATGCGGAAAGGCCCGCCTAATAGGCTCTTGGGAGGTGAGTTCTGTCTTTTCCATCCTCCCGCCGGTGAGCCTTTGGGTGAGCCGTGTGGTTGGATGCAAAAACTGCACTGCCACTTTTTGACAGAAACACGACGGTCTGTGTTTGGTGCATCTTCTAGGGGCCATTCGGCTTGTCCTTCAGCTTGCTCCAAATGTTCAGATTGATCTTGCCCTTGTAGGGGCCATAGGAGAAGACATCCTTACAGCGGCCAACAAAACCCCATCCGTCACGCATCGCAAATGGACCGTGTGAAACGTAAGTTGGCTTCGTTGGGCGGCTTTCTTGACATCACTAGCCGCCTCTCAGAAGCATTCTGGAAGCTAGTCATAGGGGGTGATGTTGTGGACCCGTCTTGAGTAGAAGCCTTCTTGTGGCATGCTGCAGAATGCTTCTCTTGTGAAAGTCAAGACCTACAGCCTTGAAGCAACAGTTCCGAAAAGTAAAGTGGCATCAAAGACCACGTTCGGAGTTCGGCCTCAAGCAGAAGCCTTCGAAAGCAAACGAAAATGGCTCATTCAGCGATGGCTCTTCCTCCTTCAGACCAAAAGCCCCCTTGAACACCTCCTTCACTGGCACGGGCTTCACCTTGCCAAAGGTAGAGACGAGATCCGATTCGCCGAGCTGTTTGCTGGAGGTCCTGAAAAGACCACCTTGAACATATATCCGCACGCACCTTTGTCACGTACCGGTACTATAGGGTAGCCTTCCGGGAAGACCAGGTTTTGTAGTGTAGAATCTTTCGTAAAACCAATGGTTCTTCAAACCTAAGAACCTAAGAACCATAAAAGCAATCATCAATCCTGGGCCTGGAATCCGAGGGGCCTAGGGTGCAGTCATGTCTGTAGCGACCAAAGGAAGGCAGCTCAAGGTAATCATCGTTGCCACTACTTGGTGAAGCCATTCCCTCTGGGGGTCCAGGAATGCCAACAAAGAGGGTGCGTCAACTGCATAAAAAGGGAGGTAAACATCCTGGAACTCGGATATGACCTCCGTTTTGATAGGAACTTCGACCATCTTTTTGGGTTGCTGGCCCCCCCAAAATATGTTCTATCACAAGGTCAAGTGGTCCATTGGAGTCATGGTGACAGAACATTCAGGTTCGATTCCCATGTCCTTGTGACCGATCGTAGGTCGCTACGTCTGACGCACCCACGTCTGACCCACGTCCGCTCCGCTCCGCTCACTTCGATTTAGACGACCCGTTCGATGCGCGCGCGCGCGCGACACAATCGAAGAACGCCCTTTACACAATCAGACCTTTCCGCCACCCCCAGCACCGGCTTGGGACATCTCCAAAAAAACCCAAAGCCGTCTCAAACCGAGCAAAGCCGTCACAGAAGAAACACACCAAACACAGCGCAGTGTTCACACACACCTTCCCCGCCCAACTCCCCACGTTCCCCGTTGCGTCCCCCAAGCGGCGGACTGGGCGATGTCAATGTCCGAGGGCACCGGCGAGACCGGCTTCACCGGCCGAGCCGTTGGACAGCCTGGGGGACCACCGGTTGGCCCAGTGGGAGACCACCGGTTGGCCCTCCAAAGCTTTCAGAGTCAGGATGCGGTCTCTGAAACAGGCCAGCTAGAGCTGGCTTCAACTGAAACATCTTCACCCAGATCGCGTCCCCCAGTTCACCCCACCAATCCCAACCACACCACCGATGTGGATCTCAAGCTGCCGCCAGTATTAGAGACAACCGTGACTTTCTTGTTCTGACAAACCTCATTTTGAGTTCTTTCTCAACCTCAAAGGCCTCACAAACGGTTGGTCGGTCACTTCCGTCTATTTCATTTGCCCCCCCAATTGCCCCCCAAAAAACGATGAACAACAGGTTTCCTCAACGAAATTGGACGCGACGCGGCCCACGCCGCCATTGCGCGTTTTTGCGGCCTGCTTTGTTTCGGCTCCAAAAGCCATCGCCTGAGCTGTGAAGCGAAGCCACACCGAAGAGGATGAAGGTCTGGTTTGTGATCTTAACTGATCCATCTTGCAAAGTCAAGTAAAATCTTCAAGCAAGATGGTAGACCATTCATGAACCCGAAAGAACCCCCCCAACATAACCATGGGTTGGTTTTCAGAAACATCTTTGGGAGAGTCAACATCTTAAATCATCTTAAGCACCCTGGAGTAAACATTCACTTGTCATCTTATTGGTGAACAGACTTCCCAACCTCTCAGAACACTTTTTAGTGTCATGTGGGGTAACGAGTTGAATGGGGTTCGTTACGGTTCGTTGCCAAGTCCTGCCTTTCCTCCCACTGCCAGGTTTCGTCTTCCGTTTGGGGTCAGGGCATTCAGGAGACCAGGACATTGTTGCAGTGACATTTTCAGGAGACCAGGACATCCTCTCGAGTTCACTCATTCGAGAACACGCTCTTTTTGGTCTTTCCTCTTTGATGATGCTCTTCTCCTCTGTCCAATTTAGTTTGCTTGTAGGTTGGAGGCCATCACTTGTAGGTTGGAGGCCATTCCTATTAGGTTGGAGGCCATTGCTATTAGGTTTCCTTTATTTTCGTTTCGTTATTCATTCCCTTTATCCTAGTAGCGAACATTGCTCTTAGTAGCGATGACAGGAGCCCCATTCGTTCCTCCCAGGCAGCACTTCTTCATCCCAAGGAACACTTCACCTCCCGTTCCGGCCGCAAGGACCACACCACCGGCGCGGCCGCCGCCGCCAACGGCCGGCACCACATAGGGAAGACGCCACGAGGAGGGAAGGCGCCACGAGGTCGGCCACGAGGGAGGTCGACCGGACGTGTCCGAAGATGAGTTCGCTTCTGAGGAACTCATGGAACTCATGATTCTTTTTCTTTTTTAAATCTGGTTTTCTATATGGAACTCATGTAACTAATCAAACTCATCTGGTTCCTGGGTCAGGGAATGTGGATGTTTGGACGTTGAACGAAGAACTCTTTTGACAGCCACAAGATGGATAGCATGGGGGGCGTGGGCCTGGCTGCTTGTTGGCTTTTCTACTTTGGCTGTTGCGCACAAAAGGTGCAGAGGTGTTGCATCTTCATGGTCCTGCAAGAATGGATGGCTGCGACCAAAAGATGCGTCATGGTCCAAACTCCTTATTGCAGCCGCGATGGTCATCTTTCCTTGCCAAGGGTTTGTGAAAAAGTTGTTTAAATATCCCAGAAGTTGTTTGCAAATCACCCTCCCCCCCCGCAAGAAAAACGCCATACACACAGCCTTTTGACCATCGGAACCCAAGCACCGGCCTCGGGGCGGCTTTCGGTGGGCCACTTGCCCAAAGGATCCTTGCGCGGACCAAAGGGCCGCTTGGCCTGGCTGCGTTCGTTGAAGCTTCGCAGCTTCGCCAAGGCTGAGCTGAGGCTTGTCGGAGGGTGTTCTTTAGTTAGTTGATGGGCGTGTGGAAATGAAGCCGTGAGTGAAGGCTTTGGAGCATCCTACCAGTCAAGTTGAGGGTGTTCTTCTTGGGGACGAACGTCCAAATTGCCAGCGTGCTCTTGGTGAAGAGGGGCTGCAATGAACTGAGGAAAAGGGCGTGCTGTCACTAAAGCTGGATCTGCGATTGGAAGAACTGCGACCAAAACATCTTTTGAGATCTGGAGCTTAAACCTTTAAAGTATTAGTGCAGCTCTCACTAAAGTCCAGATTTTACTGGTTTCCATTCTGGTCTCAAACCTGCCGCTTTTACCCCTCGCAGCCCACAGTGATGCAGGTCTTGTGAATTGGGAACCCTTCAAATCGAGGTCAGAAGGGGTTTTTCATGTCTCGGGCAAGCTTCGCATCGGAAAAAAAAAACGGATTTCTTTATACAGCAACGACAAGAAAAGAACAGTGAAAGATCTCCAAGAAGACCCGCTTCTTGCTCCTCAACTTGAATCCTGCTAAGTCCTGCAGCTAAATCGCTACAATTGCTAAAATTAAAATCGATCAGAGCTCGAGGGAAAAGAACGCTGCACAGTCGAAAGCTTTGTCTCATGGGGAAGTAATCCTGCCATTGCGATTTAGTCAGAGGAGTGGGAACTCAACGTCTTCTTCAAACACAACCACATCAACATGAACTGTGCAACATGACAACACTTTGTCACAGCTCTCAGTCGTAGAAGTACAGAAGGCCATTCTCATGGCCTGCGCGCTTCTTTGCATAGGCAGGGGGTTCAAAACATCAACAGGGCTGTCACTTTTAGTACTGCAACAGCTCAAATACATCTCACATCTCAAACAAACCCTTGCAACTTCAAAACAGCTACAGAACACACTGAAGCCAAAAGAGACACCGGCTTTACATGGCTACACCATGGATTTGTCTGTGGTGGTCTTCCCTAAGACTTCGCCCGCCGATGCCTGAGAAGCTTCAGCGAATGCGTCGGACACCGCCAATTTGGATGCCGATCTGCCCATGCACCAGCCTGGGTGAAGACGTGAATGTACCCCTTTTCCTTTGTAAAACTGGGGCGTCCTACGTCTCATGGCACTCCTACGTCTCCAGGTGTGTTGGGTGTTCGGAGTTATTTCGGAAAACAAGGACTGCTCTGGTTGGAGTGGAAGAACAACTGCATACAAATGCACAGCCCGGCCTGTTGGAAGAACACCACTGCTTTTGACTCCTCACCTGAAACCAACCTAAATACCACGCTGTATGGCTGTATGCAAATGGTCCTCTGGAATACCAATCACCCCCCTTGGAGTGGCGCTTTCCGGGTGGGATCGCACTCGTGCCGAAGTAGGATCGCCACCCAATGAATGCGCAGTGGAGCAGTGGAGGGCAGGTGAAGGCAGGCGAACCATACACTTTGAGTCAAGGTGAAGCAGTGCACAACATGTTCAAGGCAGCGTTTTTCAGTGGTCCTTCGGTGAGTGTCGAAGGACACTCTCTCGGGTGGATAAAGCTCCAAATCCCTTCGAACCATCGATGGCAGTCCACCCAGTGTCTACCAGGTGATGAACGCCTTGAACGAGCAGAATTTCCACCAAACGCATGCGATGGGACGGAGGCGACTGACTCCTCTCGTGGGATTCCTTTTTATGTAGACTTTTTTTTCTGTACCCCCAAGCTAAGCCTGAAGAGGGTTTACTATCCATGTCTGCCTTTTTCTTCATCAACAGTCTATGTGTACATGTGTGTGCACAAAAATAGGCTCAACCCCCCATTTGAACCCCTGGAAGAAGGGACATATACAGACCCAAAATACCCATTAAAATACCATTGGTTGAGAGAGGTTCCCCCCAAATAAAAAGCAGCTCAATCTCAAACAATCGCATCACCCAATGCACCAGCCTGGGTGAAGACGGGAAGACTTTCGCGAAACACAAATCTGAATCAAAACAATCGCATCACCCAATATACATTATCCACACAACTTCTTTGGCTCCCAGCCCTGCGGAGATTCTCGGCACCCCAGCCCTGCGGCGGTGGGCAGTTGCACCGATGCCACCTGAGCTCTCTTGAACATCCGGCGGGACCCCAAATGAAAAACCGATGGCAGGACGGAAGGAGGTGTGAGAAGTGGATGATCGTATCGTATCTGTTCAACCAGATTGAGTCCTTCGGTCGTACTTTCAATGCCTTATCACCTTATTCTTCTTTCCGCACCCCCCCAAAAATGGCCTGACCGAGATGTCTTTCTCACAGATTTCTCAAGTCCTTCCAGTGAGCTTTGCATTCCACCGCCCCATGCTTCCGCTCTTCGCTGGGAACAGGAACCATGCATCAACGGCAAGAATCCTGATACTCTCCCCATGTGGCCCACACCCTCTCTTTCTAGCAATTCTAGGTTGGAGGCCATCGCTCTTGTTCCTTCTGTGGCCCACACGGGAGTTGCCCCCACCTTGGCCCGAGCTTTCTCATGGAACACACGGGCAAGTTCAGCGGAACATGCGGAGAAGCTCCGAGCTCTGGGCACTGCTCCGCTGCACCGTTGCGACCTGCAGGGCTCGAGGATGCTGCGCTGCAGACACACAAGGGCATTACTAGTAGCTAAGAAGCTACTATAGTAGCCAGTTGCTAGTAGTAGTAGTAGTAGTAGTAGTAGTAGTAGTAGTAGTAGTAGTA